TGACCACACCAGAGGCCACTACATCTTGGTATTCATATATTCAAGTTACAGATTGTTGAATGCAAGGAGGGAGTTGATCTAGCTTTAGCGAAAATACTACTAGCGAGTGGGTGAGCAGATCAACAAATTCTGCAAAGGCGATGCTAGACCTGAAATGAATGTGCTCATAATAACACACATCTAGTGCTAATCCAACCAAACATGGATATAGTGCTTACTTCACCATCTGAACTTGCAGATAGTCAAATATATACTCTTGGGCGACAGAAGACAGTAGAGACTTCACTATCCTTTGACGGGAACATTTACTAGGGGGTTGATTTCACTTGCCACCTTGATGATTCTAAGCGTGTGCTAAACAGTGCGCTGCTCATTGATGCTGCTGATGCTGGAATAAGGCATATCGACAATAACAGAGGACGTTTTACTGAGTACTTTCTTTTAGGCCTTCCTAAAAACTCCATTCTTTCGATTGGAATGTCGACGGCTGCTAATCTGATGTAATTAGCTCTGTTTTTTCAGTCAATATGTTCGCATGAAAGATATTTTTTCCTACATTAAGCTTCAAACTTTAGTAAGCTCTTCTAGTAGGTGATCCTATATAGCAAGCTTATCATGAACTCATGAAGCTGAAATTAGGCATAACCATTTATGTAGGCTTTTCTTTTAACAAATTAAAGTAATTGGTTTATATATAGAATGACTTCTTATCATACTTAAATTTTGAATGAAAGATACTACCATTAAAAGCAGGGAAATATGGTGAGCAAAGATGCCATTCAGTAATCTTATATCCTTGATATATTTGCTTACAGCTACATGGGACTCAAGTAAATCACTTGAAACCTTAATTGAAGAATATATTTTACAAATTCTTCCTTATAGGAAGATTGGAATTAGGTTGAATGACATCCTAAGTGTATTGTTAAGGTAGGCTAAAGTACCTGTCTAGAATTGACGTCTGTAAGCTCAGGCATACTTTACTCGTCCTCGCTTTGCTTTATAAAGAGCTTCTCTTGAGCCGACTATCCTCTTAGGTCTTTATTACTTCTTACCTTATCATTTTGATGGCTTTTTTATGTGCAATCTGAGCTAGATCAAATATAGTATTCAGTTTACTTCCATTTTGAGTGAAAGTGTTTAGGAAAGATATTCTAAAGTCGACCTCACCAGAAAACGATGGAGAATTCCTCTTGAGCAGCTGTCAATTGGCCTTACTGGAGCATTCTTGTTGAAGCTGTTTTCGAGGCATTCTTTTTCAATTTTTGTGAAAACGTGTTAATCTTTCGTCCGTCATATGACAGACATCACTAGAGCAGGGTGTCATCCTTACAACTATATCCAAGCTAACAAGTCAAGAAATCGAAGGAGATTGCCTCGGAACAGCTACAACAAGAATGTTCCAATAAAGCCAATCGACAGTTGATCAACAGGAATCCGCCATCGTCTTCTGGTGGCATCGACCTTAGAATCCCTTCACCAAACACCTTTTCCCAAATGGAAGTAAGCTGAACAATTATGAACCAAGAGATTCCTCGAAACTCATCTTTTATTCGCATAAATATCATATCCAAATTAATTTAATTAAGCTCACACTACTGCAATTTTCTATAAAAAATCGCTTGAGCTTTCCGTTTGACTTACATGAATTCTCCTTCACTCCAATCGCTCATTACTCATTTCTTCTTTTATCCCTCGATATACATAGGATCTTCTGATCAACGCTTTATGGAGACTGTATACCGCGCATTTCGAGATCAACTCAATCTGCGCCCGTCTATAACGCTAGCCCAGTTCTTCTCCCACTCCTATGCGGAACGAAAGATTGAGTTGGCCTGTATGGCTGCCGCTCGAGTCCACGACCAATCGACGCGTTTTGTCAAGCGACCAACGGCCATGAGCAACAATACGTCGCCGGCAATGGCACCTTTGGCTTCAGCAAATATGAACGGATCTCTCCAGCGTCAGCGACCCTCAAGCCAATGTTTAAGCGGGACAGTTAGTGGACGATCATCTGGGTTGCAGAACGGTAAGACAATCTACATTACTCTCACAAAGATTTTGCTATAATTGAACTTTTGTCGTCTAATAACCAGTTTTCAGAAATTTTGAAACCGAATTTTTTTCACTTATTTTAGCTTAGTGGACTTGTAATCGTATTTAGCCTTTCCGGTTTTTCTCTTCCTTGCCTCTTTATAAAGGGGGGATATCTCAATGTCTTTTCGTTTATTCCATTATCCGCAAAGCCACCAGCTTAGTGGTTTCGCTTTTTTTTACTATTTTATTACATTAAATAGTTTATCCTCTGATTGAAATAATTATGTCTTCTGAGCAGGGTAAAATGAAGGATCCTTATTATTGAATATATGAAGACCAAGATGTTGTGGCCTCTGGTGTGGTCGCAGTCTCCTTTCGATTGATA